TTTTATCTGTGCCCACATTAGTTTCCAAATCATGCAGAATAAACCACATCATTGCTGCAAACAAAGTGGATGGTCTTACAGGCAGGAAAAGCTGAAGTGTCTTTTTAGTTCCCAGGAACATAAAGGGTAAGCAATCATGAATTCATTGTTTGCTCTGCCTACATCCTGGGGGCTAGCTGTGGTTCTGGGCTCAACAGGCATGCCTAATTTTGGCCAAACACCACTGAGACCTCACCCAACACGGAAGGCTAATTGGCAGGATTGGTAAAACATACATATGAAAGTTTGTTGCTATTACTGTTATTTAAAATTCAGTTATAAAACCTTAACATTGTACTCTCACAGTCTAACTTCTAAATAGAGAAGGATGCCTAAATATGTGTATGGAGGTATAGGGAACACTTATCCACATTGCAAAAACAAGAGCTGACAAGTTAAGGAAGGGTCTTCAATCAGCATTTAGGCAGGCGAACATACAGGCTAACTTTCCAACAATAATAATCTAAGCTGGTAGTTATCTACAAATGAGGGTATATAAGAACCCCTAGAAGACCCTAGCCTTTCATGACTTATTCCAGGCCATGGAAATCCAGAGCAGAGCTAGTTTTTTCCACCCCTGAGCTCTGAAATCCTTTTTCAGTGCTTTCACTGCTTCTTAAAACAGTAGTTAGATATTGTCATCCATTTGGGGGCCAAACCTGCCTTTGGCCCAGCCAAATGCATTCAGAGTCTAACTATGACCCCACCAGAAAAACAGTTTAGCTTTGTCCTTAAACATAAGATAAGAAACCGTGGAGGATGGAAGAGAGGATGCCAACTTTCATCTGTCGTATCTGCTAGGTTTCTGCCTGTTCCCTCGACTGCTCATTTAAACGTAACACATGGTGGTGGTGAAAGGCAAAGTGTCACTGAACTGCAAGCCAAACCAGACCTGATTTTATGGCTGTGTGCGGTACACAGATCAGTCCTTCCTTAGCCCCAGCGCAAAGGAAAAGCATGCTCTAGAGAAAGAGCTTTATGTTCCTTGTTACTTTCGAAAGATTTCAAAAGCAGCCTTGTTAAAAGAAAAAAGGGCTCAGCTATGAAATCACTTCCTTCTGTTTAAAATATTTTACTCGAAGAAAAACAAAAGGGCACGAGGAAAAAAAAAAAAAAAATCTGTTCTCTGCTTTTGACTTGTTCCTGGGATTCAGCATCCCACCCGCTCTGTGGGATGACGCCGTGTGCCAGATCCCGACCGCTCCAGCCCGCGCGCCAAGCGTCCGCAGCCCTCCCCGCACAATCACCCTCTTGTCGGAGGCGGCTGGCGCCCGCCCCGCACAGGCTGACAGCATCGCAGGACTGCGCCCGCTTCGGGGCAGCTCTTCGCCTCTTGGAGCAAGGCAGCAAGGCGCGCGGAGGGCAGGCCGTGTTAGGCAGCTAACGAACAAGAAGCTCTTGTGTTAATTCCGCCCCCCCTCCTGCCCCCCGAAACGTAGCGTGGATGGGGACAGAGGAAAAGACGATCTTCTGCTTGCAGCAGCGAGGCTCTGCCTGGGAGTACAGCCAGCAGGGCGACTTCAGGAAGACCAGTTTATGGAAGTTTAAAAGTCAAACGACCAGTTCATTGCTGCCCAAATCACAAGGGGGTTACTTACGGCTGAGCAGCATTTTAACAAAGATCCTAAGACGAGGACTGGTTTGCCTCCCTCTGCCAGTGCTCATAGGTTTACTCAGACTCCCCGCCCTGTTTTTCCTCGATTCCCAAGGCACCCTCCCTCTCCTCCAAAATGAATTGCCTCCTTCTGGGCAAGTGGGCTGACACACACCAACCAGCTCCCTGCCCCACTCAGCCGTGGGGCAGGAGAGGAGGGAGAGGGTTCTTATGAATAAACTGAAACGCTTCCCTTCTCCTCTCCACCTCCAGCAATAATGTGGGTTCTACCTCAAACAGCAATGTATTACCCTGATCTGCGCTATTAAGGAAGACAGGGGGTCTCTTCCTCCGTGTTACTGAGGTTCACTGATGCAGAAAAAAGCCAGATCACACGAGATAAACGTTCAGCAAGTTGCTCCAAGCAGCCTACGACACCCACCTTCTCTGCATTTCCCAAAGCTCAAACAGATGAACTCACAGCACTATGCACTGACTACCTTTGAAGATGGCACTCAGGAAATACGACACTCAAAATTAAATCTTCTGCTTGTGAAAATTTTAAGCCAGACATGCAAGCAGACTGCAAGCAATGCCAGAGCACCAGGACACCCGCCTGATCAACAGGCTGTCCGAACCCCTACTCCAAAGTGAGGTACCACCAAACCAGCACTTCGAAGTGATGCTTAGCTTTTTTTCTTTAGAACCACAAAACACTGGAAATGCAAATTCAGTAATAGGGGGTGGCACTTGCCAGCTGATGGCAACTCATGAACTTTTCTTATGGTTCATCTAACAGTCTGCTTAACACCCTGATGCACAAATGTTTAACCTCCAAAAGTCTCTGTGGTTGCCCCCAGGCGTGACTCTTGGCTTCAGGCCATTTTTTAAAATTTATTTAAAAAAACCAAAACAACGAAACAAACCAACAATCCCACAGCTGTTTCCCAGCCATCTTTACCTTGCAACTGTGTCTCACAGGTGGTAAGGAGGTGAAAGCATTGCTGCTTCTTTGCACTGTAGCCCTATGACTGACCTCCTCCAACCAAATAAACCACACTGCTTTGAAAAACAAACAAACAAACAAACCAACCAACCAACCAACCAACCCACCCCTTTTCAAAATAATACCAAAGTGGGAGATCCAAATACAGGATCAAGAGTGTCACAGCCTGGGAGTGCCTTTGTTTTCTTCAAGCAGATTTAATAAAATAACACGTTACCTCTCTCTGCAAATGGTGTTCTATGCAGATTAGAAGAGGTGCTAAAGCAGAGTGTGTACACAACGCCGAAGGAATTTAACTGCACCAGTAGTAAGAAATAAGGTCCTGTTTGAATTTTGAAGAAGCTTCAACATGTGCCACCTGCAGTCCTGAAAAATCTTACTCCAAGTAGCCCCAGTGAGGAATCAGAGATACTATTGAACTACATGAGCAGCTAAACTTGAGTCGCCTTCAGTTTGGCTAATGCTACTTAACCTCTGAAGTTGTTCCACTGTTTCCAGAACAATACCTGGAAAAAATAAGGTACTTATTAGGGAAAAAAAGGGCTACTTTATGTTCCTTGTACATCTCTACTGTCGTGGCCACACTGTGTGGCCTGTACATCTTCCCTGTGACCTCTGCTCACAGGAGAATGGAGGAGGGTGCAGCCACTACGAAGCCTTCCAACTGCATACATACCTCTAGTCCCATAAATGCCTGGGGTTAGCTGCCACGTGCTATTTATTCAGTGAATGTTTATTTATTCCTACAACTCTGCATTGCACTGGTATAAGCACTTACTATCCGTGGACTGCCCCCCCCCCCCCTTTTTTTTTAAAAGTCTTAGCCAGGCTTTCACCTCACAGGAAATACTCCACTGCTGTATGAACAGCAATTCCTTCAGGAGGGAAAACAAGCATCTATTTCCTAAAAAGACGACTGCAAAACCTAAATTTTCTTTCTGTTCTTAACTTCATCTTGCCTTCTGTGAGGAGGATGACGGAGATGGGGAGGGACAGATTTTGGAACCACCAGGCAGTCAGGAGAGGTTTTACCCACCACTACAGCCTCCCTCACAAAAGTCACAGAGAGTCTTTGCCTGAAGAGAAGAGCAGGACACGTAGGAACACAACTTATCAATGGCTGAACAGGTTAGTCAACTACACAGTTCATATTCTGGTTACAAAGCTAATAACTAGGTCAGAGAGCAACACGTACATTCTTAAACTAACATATGAGTTGACACAGTGATTCACAACAAATCTCTGCAACTATTCTGCTGCGTTTGTGCAGATAGCAACTGCTAGAAAACACAAGTCATGGCATAAAGCCATGGAAATCAGGATGTCAAAGCCAGAACTGGGGCTAAGTTTTGGGCTTTGTAGACTGTGTACAGTTGCTTTTACAGACTACTAAGGGAACTTCACGATGCAACAGGCTACTAGGATCCCAAGAGACCTGTGTACCGTGCTGGAGGACCTCATGGGTAGGAACACAGGTTGGGACAAGGAGACAACCACCACTGTCCCTGCCTGCCTGCAGCTCACTATCATCTGCAGCAACAAAGAGCAGAACTCTGACCAGGGAATGGTACCCAGCATCCAGGCTGTGCTTTTTCATAAGGAAAGTGAGAGCCCCAGACAAAAGCCAAATACAGCCATTCACAAAAAGACAGGAACCTTCTGACTCCAACGTGTGTCATGATATTTGCCTCATGTTTTCTTGTTTTGCAAGCCCTGAAGCTTAGGCATCTCCTGAGCAGTGTGCTGAAGCACACCAGTGCCTTATGTGCTACTTTTCTGTATTAGCAAATTGGCAGATACTCAGATGTGCCAAACATTGTAGACCTGAATGAACTGTACATGCAGTCCTGCTTAACATGCAAAATCTTTTCATCAATAGCCTGTAGCCCCTCACTGTTCTCTAGACATAGGAGTACTGCCTGAATAAACACGACACCTTTTGGGTGGCAAAAAGGAGACAAGAGGTACTTCAGTGGAAGATTGAGCCTTCCCTGTACTATTTTAAGGCTGCAGCCATTTGGCATCTTCAAAGGCAAAAGGGTGAACATTGCACATGATAGGCTGCTACAACAAGCTTTAAACATGCAAGCTGCAAAAAACCCACCATCTGACATCTCAAGGTCCTGGATTTTCATCAGTTTCATATTACAGGGCTGAGTGACCAAGTCTCTTATACCCACTTCCATAAACAAGCTTGATGATAGTCCCGACACAGTAACAAATGCTGGGGGGTTCTTATTGCCCCTACCTCTTCTAGTGTCTTCCAAATGCTGCTGACCTCCCACAAGCTGGACCTGCATTACTGAAATCACCTGATAAGAAACAGAGGGGGAGAACAGGGGAGGCAAAGTAAGCACTTACCAAGCACAATGACCACAGTCTTCAGGAGGCTCATCATGGTGTCCCGATTCCTGCGGGGTCCAGAACTGTGTCTGGACATTCTCATAGTCCTTTGGCGGACATACCCAAAGATATGAGCATATAGGACCACCATGACTACAAAAGTGACCAGGTTGAAAATAGCCCAGAAGACCAGGTAGGAGTCACTGTAGAGCGGTGCCATGTTGGAGCAGTGAGTGATATCACAAATACAGTTCCATCCGACACTTGGTATGGCGCCCATGACAATGGCCATAGTCCAGATAACCACAATTACGACCACTACTCGCCGGTTGCTCATCCGAGTATGTAGCTGCATTCGGAAAACTGTAATGTGCCGCTCAATAGCAATGGCCAACAAATTGGCTACAGAGGCTGTCAGGCTAGTGTCAATAAGACCCTGACGGAGAAGCCAGGTGCTTACAGTCAATCTTCTAGTGTTGGGTCCTGTGTTGAACATTAAGTAAAAGTAGGCCAGCCCTGCAAAAAAGTCTGCAGCGGCTAAGTTGGCCATTAAGTAATAAATAGGGAAGTGGAATCGGCGGTTGACATAAATAGCCACCATAACCAAGAGGTTGGCCAGCATTATGAAGATGCAGACGGTAATCCCCAGTCCCATTACAAGCTTGCTGACAGTGTTCCATTCAGTGGCTAGATATTTTCCACTTCGGTTATAAAAGAAGGCAATGGTTTCATTGTAGTAGCACTGTGGTTCGCTCATGGCTGTGGACTGAAAGAAGAGGGGAAAAAAAAGAGAGAGAAAAAAAAGAATATCAGAACTGAAAACATATGATTGCCTCCACGGACAAGACATGCACAGAGAGCAGGGAGGGGGACAGGAAGGGAACATGCTTCAGAACAAATTTATTTTTTCAGACTAAATGGCATTCCACAACTTGCAAACAATTGCTCTGAGGAGTCTAGTAACAGCAACCAGATTAGAAACAATCAGAAATTATTCCATCTGCTCTGGGAGCTAGCATGATTTCTGACGCAGTTGTAAATTGCATAGCAAATGAGCATGTGGCCAAGCAGACCTGCTGAAAAATTCACTTAAAAAGAAGGGCATGCAATTTGTAATTAAGAAAAGTAAACTCTGTTACAGGACACCTTATTTATGTTACCAGTGCATAAAACTGTTTTTTGGCTGTAGCAGTGTTACAAAAAGAGCTCCTCAAAGAGGAGGAAAAGTGGATTACATTTCCCAGCACATTTTGACTCATTCAGGTCTCCATCAGGGGCATTCCTTCTTGTCCTGTCTTAAACTGGGAAGAAGACCCTAAATTAAGCTCATCAATATGCTCTGAGACTGTGATTTTCCAGGGCCACGGGCTATGTCTTTCCATGAAGCATGAAGTGCATTTATAAAGACTAAAAGAAGCAGGCCACTGTATTTCTATAAGCATTCTTCTTTTTCCATCAGTCACATTTCTAAACAGGGTTTGAAATACATCATGCTTTTAAGTATAACTCATCTGAACTGGCTTATTCCAATTTGAAGTAGAAGGAGTGAGGCAAGAAATCAGAAAAGCAGTATTTGACTTAACTAGTGCTAAAAGCCTCAAACCTTCTTTCTTGCTTTAAGTACTGTTATGGCTATGTCAGGGAATACATGATTAATTTCCTTGCAGAGTACTCAGCTGAGCACAGCTATGGGGCAACAAACAAGCCCCATACTCCACAAGAATGTAGAACTTTTGCATAAAACTGTTAGCTAACAAGAAAATGCTTAATGAATTTCCTTCCTCAGTTATAATCAATTACTCAAGGTGCAATTCCCAAAAGGCAAATCTTAGAAAAAGAAACCCCTCTGATTAACATCCTGGTTCCTTGTTTAGCATGGCTTAAAAACAAGGATGTAAAAATAGTGATTAAAAAAACCAAACCAAGAAAGTCATGCCAAAAAAGTCTCTTCCTAAAGAGGCCCAGCTCTGACACCCTGCTCTTGTGGCTGTGAAACTCTACTGACTAAACTTGAATTTTTACAAAAAGAGGAGCATTTTTAGGAAGAAACTGGGTAATAAGGCCTATCGAAGAACAGATCAACAACACTACAAGATGAGAATTTCTTCCCATTAAAACATGCAAACAAACCCCTATGTTTTGGACAGCTCCAGCCATTCTGCAGGAAATGCTACAGCTAACGTATTCTTCAAGTTAAAACCAAAAATATACAGAATTGGGAAACAGAATTAGTAATTGGACTCAAGTAAAAATAGTATCTGATAAAGATTTCCTTAGAATTACCCAAAGCTATTTCTGTTTCCTTTTGTTTCCCTTTGTTTGTCAACACGATTAAGCTAATTCCAGTAAAGCAATACACAAAACTTTCCACCTATATCCCAAATGCTTTACATGACATTTAGATTTATGTTAAAGAAAAATGTCTTTTTGGAATGATTTTACCTCCAACCTAAACATCGATCAGAAACATTTGCAGACCCAGGATAATAAAATGCTAGAGTAAATAGTATTTCTCAGCACAGTGACTATAAAATTTTTATTGTTCCTCTAGGATACATCAACTCTTAGGTTAGAAACATTTCAGCCTTAATTATTTAAGAATTTTAAAAGTTCTCATGTAGGATCTCTCTGTTGCATAAAATCTCCCGATTTATAAGGAATACTTAACAAAGGGAGACCTAGCTACAAGACATCTGGCTTTAATTCTTTGGTTAAAGACCATGTGGTAATAACAGGTCAAGTATAGGAACCCTTAAGGGAGAGAGGAAGTCATACAAATGAATTAGTGGCCCTTATAAAAGCTTGCCAACATCTGCATTAATTATGTGAATGCCCTGTTTTTTTTCTCTCTGTAGGAATATCTGGATGCAGTCTTACAGTCTGAATTACAGAGGAGGTCAGGACTCCAGGATCTAGGGGACTTCTGCGATCCTGAATAAATTCTCTCTTTGTCTATATATTTGTCGATCTAAATTTTTCTTTCAGATGGCTGCTGACGATTCAGCCACAGGTAACGATTCCTCCTCTACGGTTATTCCTGTGGAGAGAGGCCAGTTACACCTGGCAGAACGCATATTTTTAACTCAGATATTTAAAATGTGGTAAACGTCACTTTCGTCTTCTTTTTTTTCTTTTTTTTCTTTTTTTTTTGTGGCTTTGTTTTCACATGGGCTTAGAATGTGAATTATCCCCTGATTTTGTACTATCCTCCCCAGCCTTTTCACATGAAATCTGAAACAAGATATGATAAAAAAATTTGTCTTATTCACAAAATGCCAAGCCAGGGCTGAATGTATGCAACACACATAACAGTATGTAAAATGCTACAGAGTCAGACTTGTTAAATTTAAAAGCATGAAAGAACTTGAGCAATCTCGGAGGAGTAGCATGAAGGTCACTGGCTTCTTCTCTCATTTTGAAGACACAGGAACAAAACGCTCTGTTCACAGATGGGATTTTGGAGAAGTTTTGTTTTTAGAGCGTGCTAATCTAAAACTTGGGATCTCCTTTAAAAGCGAACTTTTCAGTCCCTAAAGAAAGAAGAGCAGAAGAAGAGACAGTTTGATGACAAAAGTTGAAACAGGAGACTCCAGATGATCAGCTTTTTCAGATGCCAGCGCCTACCTTCCAGGAAGGCTTTGACCTCCAAGGTCACGAATATACAAATCCCAAGGCATTGCATTTACCCGTGACGCTGGTATCTGACTGGAAAGGCTCAAGCAGGAGGGAAATGCAACGTACCGCTGAGTAATGAAAGTGTTAACATACCATAATGGCATATGCAAGCAGGCAGATCCATCCCCTCTCCTGCCCCTGCAGGAAAAGGGGCAGGGAAGTTTATATTTTAATTTCCTGAAGTTTCACTCAGTGTGTTTCATTGCCCGGGTAAGCCAGATGTGCAGTGCCCTGAGATTTACCTCATCCATTTAGTATATCTCAACAGAAGTTTAAAACAAACTGAGCTGCAAATTGCCCATGTTAACTAAACCTCTAGGACATATCTGTGTAGAAAAAGAAAACATCTCAATTATAAACCATAAAGAGAGATAAAGCAAAACAGAGTAATAGCAGACTAAAAGCAAAGCCTCCTCTAATCATGTGAGGTTGATCTAATACTCAAGACACAGTTGTCCCAAACCAGAGAACAAGAAAATCCTGAGTACATGGAGTTAAATCTCTCAATATCAAGAGACGTAGATAGAACCACAACACAGCACACACACACCAGGAAATTTGGCACCAGGACTTAATAAGTAAAACTCACTCTGCTTCTACAGTCAACACCTAGTTGTCCCGTGGCCAGAACATCACCTTGGCACTGGCCTTCCAGCCACTATCTGCTACAGTTGTCCTCTCGGCTCCTCTCCTCTGGTGGTACGGCGCCACGCCACTGGGGTAGCAGTGGGGAGACTGGGAAGAAGAGCCCATGTCAGCAACTTTCCAGTGCTTTCCGTTTGATTCATCTTGCTGCTGCCCCACCTTGCCATCGCAGCTTAAAGAGTGGCATGAGGATTTGCATCCAAGGCATGCAGCAGATCGCTCATGGGATGTCCTTGGGTGAGAAGACTGTTACCCCCTTCCCATTTCGGGGAAGATACCGGAGCGGAGAAGGCACTGGCTGCCTGGAGCAGGAAGGTGAGAGGGGATCTCTGGATCCTGCCAGCTCAGTGGTGAGTGACAGCCCACCTGGTGAGGGCTGTGCATGAAGAGATGCTTAGGGTAGAAAACAAACACCAAGAAGTTTTCAAACACTGCTGATTGATACTGTCTAAACGAAGCATTAGTTAGCACAAGGTGCCTGAGGGGCAAATGATCAGTTTACAAACCCCACTGCAACCCGAGAGTTTGCAGAGTTCCTCAGTCCACCTAACAAAAAAAGATGAAAAAGAAAAAAAAAAAGAGGACAGCCACCCCCACCCCAGCGTGCATGGGTGCATTTATTTCATGCCGAGAGAAACAGAGCTGAACATTCTTAGAATACTAAGGTCTGACTTTTACAGAGCTTTTAAAACTTGGAAGCCACAAAAATGATTCCATACCCAAGAAAACTCTTAAAAATATTTTAACCCTAAGCTTTCCAAACGCAGTCTGCTCCTCTCTTTTTTCCCTTTACTGAATTAACCTCAACATGCTGCTGTTTTCTTACCCAGAACAGAGGGGAGATGAAAAGCAATTTATTTGGCAAGGAAGTCTGAGGAAGATGACAATTTTGCATACAATGAAATGTGAAGTACAAGCCAGAGACCTCAATTTTGCAGAAGTCATGCAACTTGCATGCAGTCTCCTTGAAGTTTGGGAGACTCTGAAGAGACTCATTCTATACAGGATGAGCTTTTAATTCTGAGGTAGCTACCCTTGTATCCCAAAAATAATATTTAGCATTCTCAGTGCTGCCCAGAAATCCAGAAAACATTTCAGAGGAAATGCAGAATTGGTAATGGTAGAATAGGAGTCCAAAACAGCAGTAGGTGTCTTACAGCTTTACATTTAGTGCAGCAGTGAGTGGAAAACCAGTAGCACTGCTTTCAGTTTAGGTAAAATACTCTGAAGTTTACCAACATATCAGGAAGTCTACAGCTGAAAAACTTTGGGGAACTGCCAACTTCACAATCCCCACATAAGGGTATCAATTAAGAATATCTTTAAAATAAGCATAAGCAAGTAAGTATAAGAATAATTGAATCAATATGTAAATACTTTCTCAACCCACAGCTGCAAATACATGGGTTTTATGAAAGTAAAGTTGTAACAGATGAGAAAAAAATT